AAAGTGGCTTCAGAGCGGCGCCTCACTCATAATAACAGGATGCAGTTCTCTGGTTTTAAGTTCACAGTTTCCATTTAAGGACACATGATATCTTGAAATCTAAGTGTATTTTGTAAGCAGGTTATTAGTCAAAATGTATTGGGTCACAAAAATACACATCTCTGTAATCTAAGGTCAAATTTGAACATGATACTAAAAGGCCATCTAAATGTAAATTTATTTTGTTTTATTTTAATGTTTTACTAAAAACGAGAAGGGGGGGGGGGGGTTAAAACAGAGGAGACAGGATGACTCAAGCTGTGAAACTACAAGAGCAATCTGTGTAAAAATATGCAGATGTGGGTTCTGCGGATAATCAGTCATTATAGGGTTACAGTTTGTTTACATGAGAGACTGATAGTTTAGATTTTTAATTTCTCCAAATATAACAGTGAACCTACATGCAGGAATTTCTCCCAGTGGAGGCATTTTCACCCCAGGGAAAGCAGGAATTACCGGCCCTTCCTCTCTCAATAATTCACTTCATTTACATGAAAGGATTTTTTTTATTATTATTATTAAAAGATTAGCTTGACGGACATATTGCTGCCGCTTCCTGTAGCACGAGGTAGGAACAGGAACATTTTCCCTGACACAAATATGAGACCAGACAGAGCCGAGGCGCTCTGCTCTGGTATTCATCACGGCTCTGCAGCCGAGGCAGAACAGGACCTCGACCCATCTGCCTACCTTCATCCGTCCCGAGAACACTGTTGTTCCGATAAAGCGCCCCGCCGTAGCCTAGCCGAGCACAACAGGTGGTAACCAATGGCAACAGGCTCGAGCGCGCCCCCACCCCGCTCGCTCTTCCCCCACCTGTCACTTCCTGAGGAAGCTCCTTCCTCATTGGTTCCTTCCTGAACGAACAAGTTGGACCGAGTTCATGAATGTCGTGGCCCTCTCCAAACCCAGAAACAGAGATCTTGGCGATAATAAATCTCCGGAAGACAAAGAGTTCTACTCTCACCTCTTCGGCAACATGTTATTATTCTGTGAAATGTGTGCGCTGCCGGTAAATCTTTCAGCCGAATAAACCTTTTGCGGTGTTTGTAAAGGTGTGACAAGCTGAGTGAGTGCGTGCGCACATCTCCTCACTAAGACGTCATCTGGAGGGATAGTTTTCTTCACAGCAGGCCCCGCAGGTTAAAGAAGAAAAAATAATAATTCAATCACATTTAAGGAATTGATTTGCCTGTACAAAATGTTAAATGCCTGGATTTATTCCAATCTTCAGTGTTTTCTTGATAAATATCTCTCCAGACATTCTGAATATTGGTTTCGATAAGATCAACACTTTTGTTTATAGTTTTTTAATCACATTTTGGCAGCTTTATTTTTACTCTGTCTTCATTGCTTAGCTTAGCACAACTGCACGTTGTGAATATAGATGGATAGAGAATAAAAGGTTTTATTATGTATGTCTATCTAGAGGAGCTACAAAACCTATAATTTATCATCATCTACTGCAGTACCTTGTAAATGTTTCCTTTGAACTCTTTCACATTCTTCACCCTGCAACAAACTTCAATAATTTAATTTGGATGTAACTATATTTTTTGAAAATCTGTTGAAACTGTGACTATGTCGTGAAACTATGGTATGATGCAGAAATCTGTGGGGGGGAAAAAAATCTCCTCTGCCTTCTGCGAGGGCTCCCAGTTCTAGAAGTGAGTACATGAGGGTAATTGACAGCTCTAAGACACGCCTCCTGGCTCTGACCGGTTGTTTTTGGTTGGTGCTGAGGAACAGATTAGCTGTCTCAAAGCATGCTGTCATGATATGGTGACGTGTAAAATAACATATTTTGTATAAACGTCACATAAAAAATACACTATGTGGCAGAAAGGTGAAAAGTATCCAGTAGAACAATAGCAGTAAACATACGATCAGAGTTACAATGAAAAGTTTTAGCTCAAGGCATGTTCATGTGTTTCAGTGGTCTAGTCCAAACCCGGTGTCCGGTCAGGTGTGCCACATGAATCAGCTTGAGAACGAGAACAGACCTAAAGCTTGGACAGTATGGTCAAGCTCCAGACCTAAGCCCAGATTAAAACAAAATCTGCAGCAAGACAGAAGAATTTACGTTCCGACTTCCTGTCCATCGAATCGGATTGAGCTAAACATTTTAGTCTGCAGATGTGCAAACGTGGTAGAGAAATAACCCAAAAGACTGACTGCGCATCAACGATCATTTCAGCTTTTAAATCTAAATCTTTTTTTATTCAGAAAGCACATTAAGAAAGCTATTTGATTCACTAACGTGCTGCACAGTATGAAAACAGATCAAAATACCGCACTGTATTATTTATAACCACTTAAAAAAAAACTCGATTAAATTATGCAAGACTTTTGAACAGCACCGTTCAATAAATTCACCTCTCGTATTTTCCTCATACCCGGTTTTCCTCCTCTCCCTCGGTCTCTCTGTGAAGTGAGGGGGTGGCTTAAAGGTGACAGAGGGCAGATGTTTCCTCTCTCTAGTTTTGAAGTGCTTTGTAAAGATGGAGATAGTGGAAAAGGATAAATCCACCACCGAGGGTTTTTACGAGGGAGGCCACCGTCACACGCAGGCCATGCCGTCTTTGTTCTGGCAGCAGTTCTGGAAAGCACGGCTCTGCCGTTCCAAGTGGCGCTGCGATTACGAAACCTGAACGTTCACCTTAAACCTTATATAATCAAAACTACTTCCAGCAGCCGAACCAGTGGGGGCTTGTCTGTTGCAACATATTGGTCTGGTCAAATAAAACTTTGTTCAGTGGGCGGATATAATCCCCATGTAGACAGACAGCTGGTAAGACCAGAGAAAGCGCTCAGTCTTTGTAAATGTTAGCATTAAGTCAAGTCATCTGGAGAATTATGCCTCATCTGTCCGGTGCATCTGTCCCTCCATTTATTAACTGTTAACAGCTAGGGTTGTTTCTTTGGCCTGCGGGTATATGGCTGAAGGTGTCAGCTCCATACTGCCACCGTGTGGTTAGATTGAGTAATGTCGACATTTTAGATTATTTCAAAAACAGTCACTGCATGTCGGAAGGATGTGATTTAAAAAAAAAAAAAGAAAAAGCAAATTGATTGTTCTATTAAATATTCTGACGATTAATCGATTAATTGGATAACAAATTAGCATATTTGTTATTTAACCCCTTAAGCTGTTTTTGTGCATAATTTGGAATACATTAAAAGATGCAAATAAACAAATATTGGAGTCCCTTTATAAATAGGAAAATAAACATATTATTGCATGAAGTGCAATAATATATTATTCCTTCACTGTACGCAAAGGATCTGTCTGCAGATAATTAAAAAAATCAGTAGTGTGATAAGCTCAACCCTTTCAGTTTACAGTGCAGGGCATGGATTTTCTGGTTCTTTTTTTTAATTTACCGATTAATAATTGGACAGCAGAAGGTGTTTAGTAGATTTTTGTCTGCAGAATTTGAACCATGTGAAGCTTAAACTATGCCACTTGTTCATTTTTTATCGTAAATGCAAAATGTGGGTGTGAGTCTATACTCTTAACAATTAGTCGATTACTAGTTGACTATTACCTCAATAATCGATTAATCACAATCAATACGATTAATCTCCAGCCCTAATTAAGACACTATAAGACACTTTTTTTTTTTTTGCATAACCCCAAACAGAGAGAAAATGAAAGCAACAAGCCCCATGCGGTTACAGAGTCTGAAGTTATGATGACTGAAACATGCTGTGGTGTCTTGTTAACACTTGCACATCTGTTTCTGTGCTAAATGAGCTGATCGCTCATTTTGACCTTTTGACTGCTTATGCAGACTAAATGAAACCAGGCACAAAACTACAAGACGGGTGTGATCTTTGTCATGTGCATGGTGTGAGAACTGTCAGAAGTGTTTCCTGGAATGGGAAAATACCAAGAAACAATGAAGTTCCAGGAAAAAAGAAAGCAGACTCTCTCTCAAGTCTAAAAACAATTAAAATGGCCTTCATCTTTTACCAGGTTGTAAAATTATTTTGATCTAACCTCATGTGTACCGAAAAGAAAGTTGGATCAAGTTGCTCAGAAGCTCTTTTAGAAGCTGTTACTAGTAATTGTTTAACCTAAGACTTCATCTGTCTCACTTTAGGTCTTTGTAAAGATAAACATTTTGATCAACTCTTTGTTTGTAGCGTTTCCTCAGTTCACTGTGCAGCGGCATTGTTGTCAGGTTGAGGGTTGGACTTGGAGCGAACTTTGCAACGTCTTGATTCTCTTCCTTTTTTGACCTTTCTTCTGCAGACCGGCTTCTGTATGTGAAACGACTTCCAGGTTTTCAGTAGAAACACAGTGAGATGCACTAGCATTTCTGGGAAGTTAATTTGTGCACCTTATTGATCATTCAATAATAAATAAAACATCCAATATACTCGTCCCTTTAACATATTGCATTAACACTTCACTTTTTTCACATTTGATTTATTTCATTTTCCTTTGGCTTTTTATTCCTTTTTTTTGAGCAGGCATGTTTTCATCATGCTACCCTGAACCTTTAACCCGTCGAACTTAACCACTCTGAACCTTCAGTCTCCCTCTGGGCTGTTTGTTGTTTACATTTCAGTCTGATCAAGATAACATCCTGGTGGGTTTACAGCCACAAGGAGGAAACATATTTAGTCTGTTTCTCTCTTTTTGACATATTTTCATTTCTCATGTTCCAGAATATTTTAAAATAGCTACATTTTATCATTTGCATTGCCCTTTTACATTTGTTTGGAGTGTATATCCTTTATATGTTTGCTGCAAAATGTCTTCCTCTTTAGTCTTTATGTCCTTTATATTTAGGGGCTACAAACTTCTCCATAGTATAAAACTTTAAGCTCTGCTACACATGGCATGCTGCTGTCTCTGTCATGCAGTGCTGTGACAAAAGTTTTATTTTTTCTTGTTTTGTCGCACCTAAATGTTTCAGATTATCAAACAAATTTTGCGACCAGACAAATAATCAGAGTAAACAGAGAATGCATATTTTAATATGGAAATATAGAAGTGATATATTCCCAATATTTTCTCACATCACAAAGTAGAGCTACATTTTTGTTGTGCTATTATTATTTCAGTCTTAACATTATGTTGCTACTTTGGAAAATTAACATGTAGCAGATGGTTTTTCTCACACACTGCATTTATGTTTGTCTCAGTTAATTTACTTTATAACAGATGATTTTAAGTTGAATTTTATACTTGTCCTGACTCCTGTACAATCGGAAGGAAAAACATACTTGCATATACTGCGTAAAGTTCAACCCTATTCACCTTTAGTTCTCAGAAAATCAAACTGATGTTGTAATTGTTGGGTGAGGATTACAAAACAAATGTTGGCTTTTATTCTCCACGATACATGGACACATTAAATAGAATCTTTGCTGCAGGCAATTTTCACGCCACTTGTCGGTCCACGTTTACTCAGGCTGTTATCACAAACGACAAAAAGAGAAATCGGGGAGGTTAGAAACATGACAAGCAACGCAGGTTATTAATTTGGCAGCGCCTCCAAAAGACCAGCCTCACCTTTTATGATGACCTTTGCCACGGCCTCGCTCAAACCGATGTGGTTGGTGGCCACACATTTATACGTTCCCGCGTCGCTCTGTTTAACACTGGCTATCATCAGCTTCCCCTCCCTGGTGGTTTCTGCTCCGACCGGCAGGCTGCCCCTTCCCACGCGGCTCCAGGTGAACTGGATTGGGTGAGAGCCGTGGGCGAGGCACTGCAAGACCAGAGGGCTCCCAGGCTGGAGCCGCACCTGGTCAGGCAGGCAGGTGGCGTACGGAGGAGCTGCATGTGGACGACAGCCGTTAAAGGGATAGTTCAAGATTTTTGAAATGAGGGCTTGTTGAAAGGAAAGGTGAAGTGCAGACAACTTTATTGGTGCCTTAATTTAGGCAGAATCCAGCTAGTTGGAGAGACAACAAACAACATTTTTGCCATCTTACTTGACCTGGAAAAGGTTTGCATATTTCAAACCCTGCAGATGTTTCCACACGGCCTCAAGCTGCCAGTTTCCTGTTTATTATCTTACTTTTCAGTGCAAATGACAGGATGAAAAATTGCACAAGATCTAATTAGTCAGCTATGATAAGTACGCACTTTTACTCTAGTTTTTTGTTAACCCTTTCATGCATATTGGTCACTACAGTGGACAGCTGTCTAAAAGTCATTTTCTTGTGCTGTGGATTTTTTATGTTATAAATGCACACAGATCTCTGAAGTGGACACTAATGCATCATAAAATACACTATCAACTACTGGTCATCAGCTGCAAATGCAAGAAATTATTTTTGTTAAATCCAATATGGCCGACAGAAAAAAAAAAAAAGCATGCCGACCGACCCGGTCCCTCCTTCTATAGACGGTAAGAAAAATTATTGTGACATCAGATAACCTAAAGACCAACACTACTGATGTATTCTTCAAATAACTTTGTATTTGGAGGAAATTTCAATTGATCCCCTAAAAACAATAAAATATATTTTTTTAACAAAATATTTTTTCTACCTTCTTTTATGCCTTAAGAGGATCAAGAAAAATTTGGAAAAAAATCCTGACACAAAGCATCATAATTCAGGCATGAAAGCGTTAATCTGTGCTGCCTGTGCCCGTTAACATCTTGTGTAATTTGACGGTGTAATTTATCATGTATCTGCCCAAGTGAGACTGAATCCAACAGGCTGTCTTTTTGAGTGCTTATGACACTTGCAATGTATCAGCCAATAATTATTACATTCCAAAAAAGCCCTTTGTGATGTTAATGTTGTAATAATATTGTAGCTCTATTGCAAACTCGATCCCTCATCAAAATTAGCAACAGCAAGCAGACCCATCATGTACTACTCACTGTCCACCTCCATGTCGGTGTACGCCTCGCTGTAGCCGTGTATGTTGGTCGCATTGCAGATGTACTGTCCCGAGTCTTGGCGCCCCACGTCGGTCAGCGTCAGGACGCCATCGGCTACAGAGTGCTTCCATGGCAGTGGTGCTCTTAGTTTGGACCAGGTGATGACAGGGGTAGGGAAGCCTGGAGGGAAAAAATACATGAATGATGGAATTACAATCAGAGGATTTTCAGAAAAAACAGGCTTACCTGTAGCCGTGCACTCAATGGTGACTGTTTGTCCCTCGATCGCCGTCATCTCCTCGATGTTAACCGAAGCCACCGGTGATCCAGGTGGACCCACCACGACCAGCTCAACCTCTGCCTCGGATTTCCCCACGTTGTTGTCAGCCTGGCAGACATACACTCCGGAGTCCTCCGGGCGTACGGAAGGCCACTGAGAAAACAGTCAAACATTTTGTTCCACTTATCTGAAGTGTGTATATAAAAAGAAAAAAATTGATTTAAGTCTGATGCTATTTTTTTCTATTATGTTTCACCTTTATAATGTGGGCGTCGTTTATCTCCTGAGTTACCAGCTGGAGGGTGGAGCCTCTGCGCTTCCAGGTGACTGTGGGGCGTGGCCTACCGGTGACGCGACACTCCACTGACACAGACTCTCCTGTTCGGATACGCAGGGGCCCAGTCGGTGTCAGCTGTACTTTAGAAGGAACTAAGAGAAATATGGATGCACATAAATACACTAAACTATGGAGTTTGCCACAAAAGCAAACTTCATATATATATATATATATATATATATATATATATATATATATATATATATATAGCTTCCAAAATTAATTTCAGACCAGTCTGGCATTGTTTAAGGTCAGAGCATTCGCTACTTCAACCACTTCTTGGTCTTTTCTTACCTATTTTTGGGGAGGTACAAAACTGTATTTTAATAGAAGCCATTATTAAATTTGTATCCACCAGTTTGGAGTGTTTGGAGTCTACTTTTCTAACCCATGAGAATTTAATAATTGTTCTTTAAAACCTACGGTCTACTGTGAAGACATAAATTGACTTGATCCCAATAAATATAATCTACCAGCAGAACGGATCTTACTCTCATGTATTATGAATCATAAAAAAGATGCATACAAATAAAGATTAATACAATGTTTTCCCATGGCAAAATATGATTTAAATAGATTATACATCTGATCTGGGTATTTTCATAAGCATTAAACTGTATACTGTGGTTTAGTGGTTTGCTTACAGAGAGGGAGATCAATGCACAAGAAAGAAATGTGTGTAGGAAGGAGCAAACCAAACCAAAGTTGGGATGGGCTCAATTTAACACAGAGAGAAAGAGAGAGAAGTCTATACAATATTGGAAGACAGACCCTCTACAGCTCAAAAAATCTGGCGGTAATATTTCATGACCTGTTCAGTCTCGACTGTATTGTCTCCAAAATCACATCAGACGTTTATAAATCCAACCTTTGAAAATCCTCCGTTAATGTTATTCTGCACTCTGCAAATATATGTCCCTTCTCCTTATCGGTGCAATAGGTGAAATGAGGTTGTATATATTTACTGTATATTTACTGTATATTTATTGTTTTGACTCTTGGACCACCTGCATGTAGACTGGTACTGCTAGACTCTAATCCCGGACAAGCCCCCAAAATCTGCTGTTTCAAAAACATCACTAACACAAAAGAAAAAGCCAGCTTGTTTAAATTTGAGCACTTAGTATGAAGAGTAGGACATGAAAATTATTGTTTTTAAGAGTTTGTTAATTTTATCTTTAAACAACAATTGTATTGACAACTCATGAGAGTCATTGGGTAAAGATTTACAGATGAACCTAAAATTCAACAAAAATATTTAACTAAGCTTTAGGCAGTTCCAAATTGTGCATGGATGTAATCTAGTTCTAACGACATTGTGCAGTATAAAACAACATAAAAAAAAAAAAAGAAAACTTGACTACTTAACAGTTTGGTTGATATTGATTAAATAGAAGTTGGCTTCTCAGAAAATGTAGCTTCCCTTTCAATAAGAACTGGATCTACTTTATCTTACTTTAGGGGAATCCCATTTTCCAAATCTGAAGTTTAAAGACAAAACTCACATTTGACATTCAGCACAATGTTGGCAAAGTTGCGTCCAGCGGCGCTGTTGGCCACACAGCGGTACTGGCCGTGGTTTCCAGGTCGAGCGTTTGCAACAGTCAGCACAGACCCATCTGGACCAATCTTTACATTATCTGAATGGGAAAAAATGACATTTCAGTGTGTATTCACAGATGTTGGTTTTATAAGACAAACAGTTTTAAGTGTAATTGCTCCTGACCTGGCAAGGCCTGATTATTGGCTCTTCTCCACTCCAGCTGAACTGGTTGGACATTGCTCTTCACCTGGCACCTGAAGCTGACAGACTCTCCCTGGCGGATGGTGGCAGTCCGAGGCTCCACGGTGACAACTGGAGCCTGAGCTGCCACTGATGACAGCGGTACAGAGAGAGACAGAGGTGTCACATGTGAGGACAAACACAAGTACGAATCAACTGTGTGAACCTTTAAACAGGCCCTGAGTGACACTAAGAGTAAACAAATGACCACCCCAAAGCAAATATATCATGATGTGTGTGGTGACAATGTAGAAATTTAAACCAAAAAGCTGTCAGTAACAGCGCATTACAAACTTTGTTTCATCTGATTTTGAAATGCCTGTCTCCAGACCAGTTTAAAGGGGAACCAACCTTGTTGTGGACTATAAAAGGAAAATATATCATTTTAATCATCTTGTTTTTTTTCCCTCTTTTTCTACAATGTTTTGTTCTTTGTTGTCTTTGTAAAATACACTAAAATACAATTACGATACTCCCTAAAGTGGTTAAAATGATCCCTTCTTACACAGCTTGAATCTGAACTTCTTGTGTCAAAGGTATGGTTTTGTTTCAAACTAAGTTATTCGGCAAACAAGAACAACATACAAAAAGGACAGTAACCTTTGAAAAGCCTATGTTAAAATGAAAGGAATATAATTTTTTTCTCTCTGAATAAAAACCGAGTTCTTACCTGAGCATATCAGGGAGCAGAAGATCAGAGCTGCAGCATATGAACCCATGATGAGTAAAAAGCAGTTCCTCTGTCTCTGCTCTGCACTACTTTCTCCGTTATCACTTTCGGCCTTTAACCCGTCCTCTGTGCTGACCCCTTTTCCAAATATTGTCTGTGGGTGACAGTCACGTATTAAAAGCTGGTTATTATATATTCTATCTGTTTGTGAGCTAATGATTGTCTGCTTTCCTTTTTAGACGAATGAGTCTACAGAGCCCCTTGGAAAAAATGTAACTTGTCAAGTTTTATACAAATGGAGCATGTGAATGCAAAAAAAAAGCTATTTGTATCTTGAAAGTCAACATTTCCCATCAAAAATAAGGGCAAATGAAATAGTTTTGATTTGCACTGATATTTGAAAATGGAAGCCTGATAGTTGTTAATATTTAACATTGCAAGCTCGATTGGAATTCATCAGAAAACTTAAAAAAATATTTCCTAAAAGTATTTCTCTTTAGACCTGTAAAATGCTCCTGAAAATTACATTTTAACATCCACAAGAGTTATGACATTTGTCCTTTCCAGAATAAAGTTTTTTTGTTTGTAGTTCTGACTGAGAGGAATTTAATTATATGACAAATCATCTTGCCAAAAAAGGTGACTGCCATGTAATGTAAAAAATGTTAATATATTTTTCTTACTTATGTAAACAGCGGCTATGAATGTGTATTCCTCTTTTGGTACAACCGTGTGCCGCTGTAACAAAAATACCGCTGCTGCCATCTTGCGGTTAACATCGCAAACTTGTTCCCTCGTCATGACGTAATGCCTCGGGGTCTGACGGGAGTTGTAGTTGGGATGAATTGAGAACTTCCTGCTTCCACGACTGCGACCGAGATATTTCGGCTAGTAGCTGAGAAGTTCTTTATTCTCCATATAAGCCCCCGAAAAAATAGAAACTGATTCACAAACAAGGTAAGTGTTTCCACCTTTGTTGCTTGTATGTCACTTTATGAAACAAGCAGCGTTTGTGCCTTTTTGAGCAGGAAACAGTCAGGTTTCCCAGCTGAACAGTCGAGTGTAAGGTTGGTTCAGCTTTTACCGTTTAAATTAGTTTTTATCTGGATAAATTTGGAAATGTGACACATAGCATTACTATGCTTTACGTGACTTTATTGTTTAATGTTTAAGGGTGAGGTTGTTGTGAAACCGACTGGTTATCTTTAGAGCTACGTAAAGAAAGAGTTAATGTACCTGAATCTGACGTGTTATTGTTGTTCCTTCAAGGCAAATGAGAGTAAGATCTTGATTTGGACACATTGATTTAAAAAAAAAAAAAAAAAAAAGTACCTGAAGTATCGCCGTAAATAAATAGTTTATTAATCCATTTTCAACACAGCTTTTTATAGGGAAAATACATTGTTCTGTTTTATATATATATATATGTAGTTGTTTTTTTTTAGCTTGTTTCTTTACGTTTTGAAATTACAGGAGAGCAATTTGTTTGGTAACAGAGGTGACAAGGAGCAACGTGTTAATTTTATGAATAAGTCTTGTGTTGAGAAGCAAACTGTGGCCTTCTCCAAATCTATTCATTCCATTTTTAAGCAAATTTAAGCTAAATATAAAAGAGCTTTACAGAGGAGCAAGCTTGTAATCAACAATCATAACAGAAAATAAAATAAGAATGTAGAATGATAGTTGTTAAGTAATCACATTGAAATTTACTTTAAAAAATTTAGATCTAATTAATCGCAATACACACTGATGTAAGGAACACCAGAGAAATATACAGACATTAAAAATGTACGTTTACCCTGAGACAAATAAATTTAGATTAAATACAAAATTCTATTCATTTCATGAACTGGAACATTATAGTTATAAGAACTATTAACAATAATGAAGGGCAGAAAACAAATGGGTTCAACGTTAATTTAAAGGAACTCAGTGTTTCAGCATCATTGCAGTTTTTTGGATGTTTCTTCCAGATTTGTGGTGCACAGAAACTGAATGTTGCTGTGGTCCTCAGATCTTCAGGAATCAAACACAATAAAAAAAATAAAAAATAAAAAAAAACATCTCTCCAGCAGGAGCATTTTGCTTAAGGAAACCAGAAAGCGCAGCATTGCTATCTGCACTTCGTTAGTGTCAGTACTGCGTGTTCTAGAAGCATTATTAAAGTCTCTGCTTTGAGGAGAAAAGCCACTTCCTTTTGCTTGTAAGAGCAACATTTCTTTCTCTGAATAGTTTCTTTCTATTTGGCATTGTCTGCTGAGAACTCTGCAGACTCAATGAGATCTGCTTGTCTGAAACAATGGACTCTGCTGACCTGAGTGATTTCCCACTCGCTGTCACATGGACATAAATTATACGCTTTCTCGGTGCCAAAACGTCAGGAAGTCACTCTAAAGGGGATTTGTACATCAATCCATTGCTACATTAGAAAGTGTTGTTATTAACCTGTAATGTTTTAAGGGTGTTGAGTGTTTTAAATTAATTAAAGATATAGTTATCCTTTTTTGTTGTTTCTGTCACAGATGTCCTTGATGGATTCGGGAAAAGTCCTGCCTTTGACGGCGGTGGCTTGGACATCCAACCTCGGCTGCTGCCCCAAAGATTTCACCCTGGTAGGAAACGGCAATTTGAGGTGCAGCATTGTCTGGCCTTATTGCTTCGGTACAATTAGTCTCAGAAGGAAATCTTTTTAATTAGTATGGCTGGAGAACTGGTCAGCGAGTGACAATAAGCTCAATACTGTAAGGTTAGCATGATTTAAAAAACGACATTCATCTCTCGGCTCTGCATTTAAAGTTCCCCAGAAAATACAATACATATTTTTGTGACTTTAGCAACCAGCTACATGGGGAAAACATGATCTTCTTGTGCATTTTTCTTCATGTTCTCAACTTCCTGCAGATCAGCATCACAGAAGACGGAGCGGCGGCGAACTTCACGCGCGGCTTTGGCATGAAGTCTGGATATTACCTCTGTTACAGCAAGGTGACTCGCAGAGAGACGTTTGCTGCATTTAACAAATGCTTTAGGTTACACCACTCTGTGGCCTTTTCTGCTCCATGACCGAACCGTGTCGCTCTCCTTTTAGGACCTGAAAGGCAGTGTGGTGGTTTCAGATATTCAGGTCATCTCAGACAAGGACTCCATTCCCCACGGCTACAGCTACATCAGAGAGTTCCTTGATTCAAGTGCGTACAGGCTTGCTCAGGCTTGGAATGTTGATGCATTTTTGTTTTCGCTGCGTTCTTGACGAGCATTTTGTGTAACGCTTTGTGTTCAGAGACCTCTGTGTCCAAGAAGAAGCGGGTGGTCGTTCGCACGTCCCCGGTGGCCAACGTAGAAACGGCTGTGTTGGACATCAAACTGACAGCCAAAAGCAAAATGCTGCTGCAGCATTACACTTACGTGGGGTTAGTAGCATCCATACGGGGCAGCTCTTCATCTTGAATCTTCATGATAAAGTGTTTTCGGACACAACCCTGGTAGATTTGTTACACACACACACAGTGATGTATTTCAAGTGGTTGTTTTGATGAGACCAACTGTTTAGAGTAATGTGTCTAAGCATCTTAGTGAAAAGTTGAGTGGAAGGAAAAAGTGTGGTAGAAGACGCGCAAACCAACAGAATAAGTGCAGCTTTAGGAAGATTAAAAGGTGAGGGTAGTCAGCAAATTCAAGCGCCAACACACACAGGAGTATCCGACACTTGAGCCACAGCTGCCCTTCTTCTTATGATAAGCCACTCCTGAATAAAGAACAATTGCATAAATGTTTCTATTGGGATAAACAGAAAAAAGGGCCTCATTTCACTTAGGAGTAAATCTTTCACTTCATTGGGAACTTAGTCTTCATAGTCACAGAATTCAAATTGCTTGAGTTGTGTTGTGAAGGTTTTACAGACATTGCTTGGGGCGGGGGATGTGGACTTAAAGTTTTATCACGATATTTTGCGTGATAAAACTGACCATAAGAAGAATCTATGACGTCTTTTCTGACTGTGTGTCACAGTAATCTGTTCCCCACAAACAAATATTTCTCTTGAAAAACATTCCTATTGGTAACATGCTTCTTTAGGACACCAGCCACATGAAGAAGTGTGATTTGTGTCACTAAACTCCACACAGTAACTGCATTTTCCAATTTATTGGTATTTAATTAATGCTTTCATTGAGCAAACAGTGGTTAAAATAAAAAAAAAGAAGCAAACCTAACAATCCTGATAATATAGACAGTTTGGGGGGATTTTAAACACCACCAATTAGGATTTATCATGATGGGAACTCTTATCGTGATAAGAAACTTATCACGATAAATGATAACCGATATGATAAATGTCCACCCCTACTTATTGGCTACTTGGGAACTATGGAAACCATCATAAATATGCTCATCAGTTTGCGGCAGTGCCTAGTTTATCACAGCACTGGACTGGCCAACCACTTGGCCAGAACTAAACGCCACAGAGAATCTTATGATCAAGAGGAAAATCAAAGACACAAAACCCAACAATAAGGCCGAGAACCTCCACGTCATCCCACACTGAACATTTTAATTAACCGAGACGTACCTGTAAGTTTTTAACTTGCCAACGACTATCTGTGCAGCGACATCCATGGTTACGTGCTGTGGTGCAGGAAGGGACATTTCTCCAGCCCCACCCCCAAAGCTAAACCTCGTAGCATCAGCTTGGAGATGCGCAGTCTCTCTCTGGAGGAACCGTCCGCTCCGGCTCTTCCTTTCCGGCCCAGGTAAGAGTCCAGAGTGAGACGCTGAGACGTTGTGCAGGTTGGATGCCTCATGTGTCAACGTTTGGTTGTCGCTGCAGGAACCTTCCTCCTATACCGCAGCAAAGCCGGCTGAGTAATCGCCGGCACAGCCTGCATGCCGGGGACGTCCTGAACACACCTGCTGACAACAGTCTTCAGGCCATTACAGGTGATGAGGGAACAGTTTGGGTTTTTTTTATTAATGGTTCACTTCCCACATGACTAGAATGTTTTGTCTTGAATAATCGGATCAACTGGAATGATGACTGTTCACACCGGCCAGTAAAATGTGTCCTGACTCATCGGACATCAGGGTTTTTTTTACACGTTCATCAAACATTCATGTCTCTGGCTGATGTTTGTCACCTCTTGGAGACAGTTAAATGACAGAATGTAAGACGATCCCCGATTGTCTTACATCCTTTCTTCACGCTGTTCACTTGTGGCTTTATATATATATATATATATATATATATATATATATATATACACACACATACACTAGAGGTGTGCCGATCGATCGGCCACCGATCATAATCGGCCGATTTCCATGAAAAAGTGAATGATCGGTGATCGCCGATCACGGTCTCTTGTTGCTGATACCGATGACCTGCATCTCATTTCGCAGCCTGCCTGTGCAGCTGGTCTCTTCTTTCCTTCACAGGGCCGGCATCCTGCATGTTTTAGTTTTCTCCCAGGTGGTAGTAACAACTTTCTTGTTCTTCTTAGGCCAATAATGACCCATCATTTGATCCAGATATAGAGATGTATCTAGATCTATTTAGATGGATATATCTATCTAGATAGATCTAGATGCATATCTTTATCTATCTAGATCAAGGATGTCCAAAGTATGTCCTTTGCTACATTTTTTTTTTCCAATTTTGGCTTAGCTACATCTCTGAATATGTTGCTCTTTCAGCAATTGGCCTGTTTTTTTATCTGTATATTCAACAGTCGATTACTTCATTCGTTGATGATTACTCCAATTGTTTCAGCCCTAACTTTGTGTGAAAAATAAAGAAAAAAAAGAGCTGATAATTTTACTGCAGCCAATTAGTTTTCTGTCATTTTGGTTCAGTCGCTGTATTTTCTGGGGATGTGCCCAACAACAATGGGGGAGAAGCGTTTCAGAAATGTTTTGTAAGTTGTTGTTTTTTTAATTAATCAGAATCCAAATTTCTTTTTATTTCTGCAGCTTTAGATGGAGTCCCCTTCAGCCTGCATCCAGATTTTGATTTGCAAGCAAGTGGCACAGTAAGGTTGCTCTCTTTTGTGTGATTGTTTAATAATGTTTGACGTTTTTGACATTGAATTGCATATTATTTGTTTTCGCCATGCTTCTCTCAGGCTCTCCAGTTGAATTCCCAACTAAACAACATCCGCATAAAGTCTGTGAAGGACATTGAAAATGAGGTAGGTTCGGCTGTGATCCTTGGATTTAAGTCACGCGTCCTCAAGCTGCAATTAAAAATGAAAAACATGCTCCTTTGTTTCTTGGCTTTTCAGTACAACTACACGTTTACGGTGGAGGAATCCGCTGCCAAGAGGATCCGACCATCCATCTCAACATAAACTGTTCAGTGATCGTTCCAATCCCATTATATCAATCAACTATTTCTGTTACTTTACTGTACGTTTCCATTGGGTTTTCCAAGGTAACAGCTTACTAGACGGTGGAAATCAAGAATAATCATGTTCATATTCTAGATTCATTTGTTGAATCTACCATTCAGGAACCCTAAAAGCCATTTATTTGTATGTTGGGTATGTAAAATGAAGAATTCATAGAATTCAGTTTTCTCCAGGAAACTCCTGGTGGTTTCACTTCACAGGGATAAAGGTGTAATTAGTTTTATAAATCTCTGTATTTACTAGTATGAATTGAACATATGTTGCATCAAACCCAAGGTTTCTTTGGTTTTACTTGTAGATTTTAAATATATAGTATTTGTATCCTAAAAAGGAAATGCACTTTGTCACTACAGATGTTTTTTTTTTCGTGCTCTTTTCTGTTTCCTGTAATATTTGTCTGTTCTTTAGCTTTAATATTTTTTGTCAGGATTTTGACAGAGCCCTAAGCCTCGTTGATGGCGCTAACTCCACTGTTACACTAACATGTCTTGAGAGACATGGTCCAGTTTTCTTGAAAGAAAAGCAAACTTCTGTTGAAACTTTGTGATTTTATATGTGCTTCTGCACAGAAAGACGTTGGCATTTTTTGTTAGGACCAAATATTTGTTGTTGTTGAACTGTATTTTTTCTGAGCTTTAGAGTAAACTCTTACAGATTGAAAAATAAAGACCTGACAAAAAATAACTTTTGCACATCAGTTTTAGTATGTTAAACATAAAGACGTGCTTACATAAAGCAAGACTTTGCAGAAGACTGAAACTGCCAACGATTTCCTTATATGTTTGCTTTAAATTAGAAAAATGTAATTAGAACATAATACATGGTTTTGATAAATAGTTCTGCAATTTTTTTCATTAAACTTTTTAGTTCAGTCCTGGTACCAGACCAAGCAAGCATACTATGAGGAGAGGTGCTTTCTTCTTTTTTTTTAAGAAAGTAGCCAATGTTAAGTCTGACTTTTTGAAAACAAAACAAATTAATAAAGATTTCAAGGTGGATTCAAAACTTTGCCATAATGTTGTATTTGGAAAGTTGGAGTTTCTGCCTCATAAGACATGAATAATGCTTGATAAGCTGCTTCAAGTGTCTTAAATCGGAAACAGGACTGGATTCAAAGGTGAATCGAGTTAATTTTAAAATTATCTTAATCAAATTTAGGGTGTTTCATAAAGCTAAAAGTCGGTTCTGAATTTGTTCACAACAATCTTTGAACACTTGAAAACCGAGACAAATTCGTGCCCCATAAAGCGCATCCTGATTGTTGTAATCTATTTCTGTAAAATGCTGCCACCTGCTGGACTAAGCGGGGATATTCACACTTTCTACCTCCAGTCTTCCATACGGCATGCTATGGTTGCCTTTGTGAGAATGCTGTGTAAAGGTAAATGTCTCCCTGAAGAAGACAAATTAAATTTCTTCCCATGTTGGACTTTGTTGGCTCAGCTTTACACTTTTAAGATGACGCAGGAATAACCTGAAATAATGTCTTCAGATTTAGATAAGTATGTTTAAATGTCAATCTCACCATCAGATTGACATTAACCAACTGTTTAACTTAACATTGATTCTCAATTAAGTTTTGGTATTAGTCCAGTTGTTTTTTTGTTTTTGTTTTTTCTAATAATCTAAAATGATTACATCGTGAAGACAGTCTTGGCTGTTTCCACAAACTTTTCGTTAGCCTTTTTAAAGTTTCGTATTCCTTTAGGCAAACTAAGTAAAGTTTTTTTTTATAGAGCACCTTTCTGAGATACAGTCACAAAGCTGTAAATAGAACTGAAATTAAATTACAACTAGTTGTTTTAGTATAGACCAAATAAAAGTGACTCAGAATGAAATTTTAACAGACAAGCCTAGTACAATAAAAAAGCTTAAGTAGTTTTTAAGAGCTTCCACAGAGACAACGAAACAGAGTCTTAGAAATATCCAGACCCATATAGTTGCTCTTAGTTTTTCTATCCATTTGTCTAAACATCCTCATCACAGTTTTATGTTTGGCTAAAATGACACAAAGACACCTAAAGATCAAAACTTTGATGATATATCAATCTTAAATTAAAAAGTATCGTTATCAGCATCGGTATTGGCGATACAGACTCTATATTTACTTGGGATTGGATCGATACCAAAATAACGCAGTATAGCTCACCTCTAAATGCAGGTGCAGTCAGAACACCGGAAGTCACTGAGCTCATTCAAGACAGCAGATATGTTTCTGGATCCTTGCCAGATTTATGCCTCTCGACAATCCAGTCTCCAAGTCCACAGAGAGTTCAGCTTGGCGTTTCAACGCTGTGAATAGTTCGGCAAATATATTTTCTTGGTTTTCTGTTTTTAATAAATTTCCAAAAAAGATGTTGACATGGGACACAAAGTACTTTCTGAAGTGTATTGGATATACACTGTCCAGTACACACACACACATGCTTTCTTTGTCCCGCAGACGGTTTCCCAGTTGTCTCCTGCAGTTCTAATCGGTACTGTTTGTTCAGTCGTGGCTAATTTGCGGAACTGCAGTCCCTGCTGCAGAGCTTCAACAACAGAGCCCTGCTTGTTCGGTTTTCCGGAAAACCAGCTCTGATTCCAACCAGCTGTTTCCCGCCTCACACAGATCAGCTGCGCACACACACACATACAGAGTCGTAGTAGGCGGAGGCTGGAAGGCAACACACATACACACACACACACACGCTGGAGGGAACCCCATCAGCTGTGGAAAGAAACACCTCGATTTTACTTTTCGTTTTTCCTTCCCTCCTTCTCAGATTGAATTTTAGAGCGGGGTTTTAGGAACTGCGCTACCTTGGGTCGCCTTTGCGGGTTCTGCGATATTAACGAAAAACACAATACTTCAACGAGAGCACACGAGTGGGAAGGGGAAGAAAACAGCAAACACGAACTACAGAAGGTGGCTTTGAAAGCATGGACTATGTCAGGATGCCGACAGAGAAGATAACATCCCTGCAGCACTTCAAGCGGACGGAGAAGGATGTTATCGGCGGGCTTTGCAGGTGTGTAAACCGCGTAATAATAATTTGTGGTGCAGCCATACCATGTGCGTGAAGGGTTTTTCATGTGGCCGTAGCGTGTGTGTATGTGTGTGTGGTGCAGAGGGGACTTCGAGTAGCATGCTAGCTGTTAGCTACTGGCAGCTGGAATGTGCTTGTAGAAATTGGCTGTTTTTGTCACATTCGCGCTTATTGAGAACTATTGTATATTGTTCTAAATTTAACCTGTGTTAGATGCGTTATTTATGTAGGCGAAAGTATGTAGATGGGTTCTCTGTGAGACAGCGAGATGGAGCGAATACGTTCATGTCCAGATGGACGCCAACCACGTGGTAGTTATCATGATCGCCGCTGCCGCACCAAATCATGTTTCAAATCACAATAGTTTATTAAAACCCAACTAGTTTCCACTGAGCAACATTAATAACCACTTTCTGGGTGGATGTATACCGTTTGGGTTCGTTCAGCAGGTTTTCGGCTTCGGTATTTGTGTGTTTAAACAGCTGCTCCCTGTAGCGGGCGACGTTGTCATGTGCTAAAATTAGCTTAGCTTGGCTAGCAAGTCATATGTCGCTGCGCACTTTAGTAGCAACCATATTAACTGTGACTGGGTTTCTTTAAACCCGTGTTCACGATATATTTATTTTTTAAATAAGTCGCTCAACACAAGCTAGGGTACACACATGAGCCTTTGACTAATAGCAGACAAAGCGTTAGCTCAATGCTAATGGCGTACAGCATTGTTCTCGGTGCCAGGGGGCCTGCTGCTTCTGCAGGTGGTGTCACATTTCACTAACCGCTACCGTTCGAAGACGCGCCCCCTAGCGGTAGAAATGAAAGGAAGCGCATTACTCCAGAATGTGACATCATTCTACAGCTGGCTTGTTGTTTTTAAATCTCTTTTCTGAGACTTGTTTTACCTAAGTTGTATATTTTTTTTAGTTATTTTGAACTAAACATGCTTTGTTTATATTAGCAAGACATTATATGAATGATCAAATTTATTTATGGATGTAAAACCGTTTTAAAAGTTGTAATTCTGGCAAAATTGCCAACTTTTAACAAAATGTAGGTGTTACCATAAAGTGTTGGCACAATATGCGAGTCTTATACCTTCGTGGTTAGAGTAAGTCTCAGTTAATTGAGCTGGAACTGTTTTCAGTGCGTTTGTTACTATAAAATATTCACTGTTGTTTAATGTTTTTTTTCCACACAAGTCAGCCATGGTTTGGTTTTGAGGTCAGGGCTGGTGAGAAACCTATTCCTTCAAAAATCCAATATTCACTGTTTCAAATGTCATTCAGGGTGATGGTATTTGGCAGTCTTATTCTGAAACAATTAAAAAAATGTATGTTGGATATCAATTTTTATTTTTTTTCTCTCTGTATACAGATATTTGAAAACAATGAACCAATAAACTGTGGATGATTAAAAAATAAAACAAGAGAAACTTAAGGAAGCTTCTGTTGCACCATAATTCAGAATTTAAACAAAAATGCAATTCACAGCTCTGATTTCCAGGGAATAAAATAAACTTCAACGGTGTGAGTATTAAAAAATTGCTTATTGAAAGTGTTTTACACAGAAATTCTCCGGTGAGGAGAGTCTCTTTAATCAGTGAGGGTAAATGATTGTAGGTGAAACCTGATCACTAAAAGTTTGTCACCAGCTCACTCTTCTTTCTGAGAAAAATCCAAGTAGAAAAACAACAAACGCACTCAAATTAACCTCCAAGTTGGTGTTTTAAACTTAAAAAACTGTCCATTTAATAAATAAAAAAAAAAAGATTATTCCAGATTTTCTGCTTTAGAAGCTATCTAATGTCAGTGAAACTGAGGCCTGCATTAAAAATCGATTGAAGTTTCTCACTCAGACAGTACGGCTGCTCAGCGGCGCCTGCGAGCTTTTGCAGCCACGTGAACCGTGTTGCTTCTGACCTTCCGACTTCAACGTTGCCGATCCGGTTCTTCAGGTTTGTTGTGACCGTTTATGTCGTTGGTGGTGCCCCCGCCCCCTCGCAGTAAATGAGAGCGAGGTTTTTTTACTAGCACGCCGCCCGGCACTGTGAGCTGGAGGGGGGCAGCAAGTTCAGCCAAACCCGTGACCTGTGGAGCCAGACATCAGGAATGTGAAGAGGTCACCGTCAGAGCTATTAGTTAAAGAGGAAGTTTTTTTGTTCCTCTTAGTTGTGCGTTTTTTTTTTTAAGGTAAAACTTAAAAAAGGTAAAACAGATTACAATTTAATTTGATACAGATTAAATTGTAATCTGTATCAAAACGTATTTTATTTCCCCACTTTTTTTGACGTTTTTTCACTTAAAAATATACTTGAACTTTTTTTTTTTGTTTTTTTCTTTGTTGTTTTTTTGTTTAGGCTTACTTTGAAGGGAGATAAAACAAGGCATCAGTTTTAGGATATTAGCTTTTAATGACAGATTCAGCTCCATCTTCATATTCCCTCTTCCCACCAGTTACCCAGCTTTTCTGTCCCTTCTAGAGAAAAGTCTAGTTTATTTGTACAGCAACACAGCAGTTCAAATGCCACCATCAAGCAAACATGCAACAAATATGTTGATCGATATTCCATGGACAGGTTTTTCTAGGCTTTGCTGAGACATTGGTTCTTCAATCCCCTGGAAGTGTTCTTCAGGTGACAGAAGGCCGACTTTGTAACTGTCTTTATGTGACGCTGGAGGCTCGGATCCGAGTCCATCCCCACAGCCGGAGTTCAGGCCTGACCACTAGTTTGTAGCTGTGACAACAGAAGCTGTGCGCTGACTCTTTAGGTCCAAAGATGATCCCCGCAGCATGATACGGCCTCTGCCGTGTTTCAAGTGGTGGATTCAGTGATTTGCAGTGTCAGTTTTCACACATGTACTTTGTTGACTAATTAGGGGGCTTCTTGGTTGCACTGGATTTTTTGGGGGGGTTACATGAAATGCATGTCATTCTTTGGATTTGTTTTTCTAAAAAAAAAAAAAAAGCGCTGAAGGTGTGCAGATGTGGATAACTAAGACGTTTTGTCTCTTCGCGGGAGAACATTTTTAATCCTCCTTCCAATGTCTTTCAGCCTGGCGAACATCCCCCTCAGTCCGGAGACGGCCCAGGACCAGGAGAGACGGATCCGTCGGGAAATCGCCAACAGCAACGAGCGGCGGCGTATGCAGAGCATCAACGCCGGATTTCAATCCCTCAAAACACTCCTGCCACACACAGACGGAGAGAAGCTCAGCAAGGTAGCTCCTCTTGCGCTGTAATGAGCAAACCCGGGTCTTTAAAGTTTTATTCCTTTTTCACTGTCGATATTTAGAGTTTTTCAACCCTAATTTGAGCTGCTGGTTTCTCCTTTTACCAGGCCGCCATCCTTCAACAAACAGCGGACTACATCTTTACCTTGGAGCAGGAAAAAACCCAGCTGCTGACCCAGAACAACCAGCTCAAACGCTTCATCCAGGTTGGGATCAGAACTCTAATTCTAGATTTTTGCATGTGACTGGAAACGTTGTCTCTAGTTTTATTGGTTTTAAGCCTCAGTGTTGTTGTATTTTTGCCTCTTTGACATTTCCTGCTTATGGAGTTTCAATCTTAATATTTGCTTGCCTCACTGTGTTGCTATATCAGCATTAACATCAATATCGGCCGACGTTGGTCATTTTCTAACACATTAATATCCAACCGTTAAGTAAAGCTGGGGCAGTGTTAATAATAAGGGTCAGGGTGGCCGTGCATCCTTAAAAAGTTTAAGTCATGCATCTAAAATTAAGACTGTAATGTATCAAATTCAATTCTTAAAAATGTCACAAGTCTTAAATTTGGTCTTGGCGGCATTATTCCATCTAGTATCCTTTTTTTTTTCCCCTCCCAAAATGTCTTTTTTTTTTTTTTTTGTTTGTTTGTTTTTGTTCAGGCAAAGATTTGAGACGTCCTCATTGCATTCTGTGACACAAGGCTGTTGATGCTACAGCTAACAAGCTCCTAATATACCCTGTCTTGCTTGCTGGCATTTTTTCTGCTTTTATAATAAATAATTGCAAATTTATGGCCACTTGGCTGAAGGAAGTTTGTACATTTAAGAGGTCTTAAATTTCATTCATGGTGGTCTTTAAAAGTCTTAAATTTGAGTTTGTAAAACCTGCAGAAACCATGAATCCATGTAACATTTCAGCCCAACATTTCAGAAGGGTTCCCATCTAAAACGGTGATTAGCAGAATAATTTTTACGAATCTTTATGTTGATTTCTTTACATCTTATTTTGATTGAAATCAAAATTAAAACCGAAATTTCCCAGCCACTTTAAAACTTTGGAGTATGACATCTCTGGTTAACTCACCCTATAGATTTTTCTCAGCCAGCATTATAATTATTAAAAAAAAAAAAAAAAGTAAAAACTCACCAGACACCACTAACTAGTCAGACGAGAACTTGTCTGACAAAAATGTCGTCCTGCATTTGATCTTGAAAGCAGGTGTTGGTAACGCCTGAGCAGCATGTGGTGGTGTGTGTTTTATAGCCGGAGGTGTTTTTGTTTTGTTTTGATCATTGAGGTCTGCCTTGCAGACGCACTTTCAGCTCTTTTTTTTTTTTTCTTTCATTCTGCCTCCAGTGCAGAGTTCTGGTTCGATTCGGTCGCTCAGTTAGGCGTCGCGCGTTTACAACGTCACGTTTCGTTTCTTGCAGGAGTTCAGCGGCTCCTCACCCAAAAGGAGGCGAGCCGAGGAGAAGGACGAAGGCATCGGGTCTCCGGACACGCTGGAGGAGGAGAAGGTGGAGGAGCTGAGGAGGGAGATGATCGAGTTGCGGCAGCAGCTGGACAAGGAGCGCTCGGCTCGCATGCAGCTGGAGGAGCAGGTGATCTCAGCTGTGCGTTTAATCATTATAAACTCTTCCCCCGTGTATTTGAACCCTGTCCTCGATGTCGAGCCAATAGGGCCCTTGAGCCACGCTGTAGGAGAGCAAACACTCAAACACAATGCTGATTGTGGCGCCGACACATTTATCAGCCCGTCAGCCACGTCCTGATCGGGTCACATCCTGGATCTACCTGAACAGCAGGTGCTGCACACAAGCAGAAACTCAAACAAGCACCTTGAACAAGAGGGGAGGGTGTTGAACACTGACGGCTGTGTGAGCGTAATTATAGACTCGACCAGAATTTCCCAGTTGCGAAGTTGAAGGAGTCGCCTACATCTTGAGAAATAGTTTGATCTCTTTAAAGTGAGCTCATTCTGTCACAAGTCCAAAACATTTTATTCCTTTTTGGAGTTTTTAACATAATTTTTAATGAACTGTGTGTATACGTTAGTGTAAATTTCCTCTTGAGTGTGTGAAGCTCAGAGCAGCTTCCAAATGTTTATTTGAACACTGTTTATGTTTTAAATTAGGGTTGTCCTGATCCAATACAGACATCAGAAATTGGTTAGATATCAGCATGCATCTTAAACTAACTTAATTACGTGTGATTCTAATTGTATTTCTTATTTAACGGAAACGCCACTATTCCAGATTTGCGTGTTTTTTTGTTTGTTTGTTTTTTAACTTTAGCGGAATATTGCAATAGTTCTGCGCACGTTTGTAGCGGGAATACTAGGGAATCTCTTTGCAGGGTGCTGAGAAAAAGTCTGGTTAATAAAAGCTAACATTTACCGTAGAAATGTCTGTAGGCTCCAAACTGGCTCTCTGGGTGGTTTTATAGAGCCAGTAAAGAACTAAATCTAGTTAAACACTTTATTGGGAAAACCTTAAATTAGAAGTTCCTCTTCTTTTTCTGTAATTGATGCGTGTTGTGGGTAAAATACTGTGCGGTCACATATGCTCCACACCCCTCTTGTGAGGACGCGCTCTAACTGGACTGATATCTGCTCGTAGGTGCGGTCTCTGGACGGCCAGCTGCACCCGGAGCGTCTGAAGGTGATCACCCAGCAGGTGGAGGAGGAGCAGGCCCTCATCCAGAGCCAGACGCTGCTGCGGCTACAGCAGATCCACGCCGCTGCAGCCGACAGACAAACACACAGTCCTCAGGTCAGAAACGCTCCACTCTTCCGGGGGTCCCTGTGCTCCAGATCGATGAGAATCACTGGGGGAGGAAAAATGAGATCTGGACTTTGGTTTCACTTTGATCTTCTGTCTTTTAGGTGCTGGCTCCGCCCACTCCGCCTGCTCCAACCCACCACCCCACTGTCATCGTCCCAGCTCCAACACTAAACCAACACCATCACGTCACTGTGGTGACCATGAGCCCATCTGTCCACACCAGCACCGTGTCCACTTCCAGACAGAACCTGGACACCATTGTGCAGGTTGGAGCTTGTTCTAGAGCCAACGCTAAAGCGCTAACTATAAACATTAGTTCTGCTAGCTCTAAAACGCCAACTCTAAAAATGTGTTCAGCTAAAGTGTTAACTATGAACATTAGTTCTGCTAACTATAAACATTAGTTCTGCTAATGCTAAATGCTAGCTATAAAAGTTAGTTGCGCTAAGTCTTAGGCGCTAACAAAAGGCATTAGTTCTGCTAAAACATTTAACTATAAACAATAACTTCACTAACGCTAAAGCGCCATCTATAAACATAGTTTTGCTAATGTTGAAGTGCTAGGCTGTCATGGTTTTTAGCAGAAACTAATGCTAAAGTCCTAAATTCGACCAATGAGCTTTATTCAATTGAAAATCTTACAAAATAACTGAGAAAATTATAGCGTTTTACTCTTTGCTAAAATGCTAAACCGCTAAGCAAAAAAACACTAGGCCTGCAGTTAGCAGATTTGCGCCCACCTCTGGTAACGATGCTCGTGTTTTTTGCTCATCCCCTCCCAGGCCATCCAGCACATCGAGCGCACCCAGGAGAGAAGAGGCAGCTCCGAGGACGAGCAGAGGAGAGCCGTCATCGTCAGCCCCACCCACGTCGCCATGGACACCGCCTGCTCGGACACAGACACGGACACGGAGGGCGAAGACTGTTTGATGAACTGACCCGCTCCCACCCACCCTGAACTCCTGCCTACCCCCGCCCCTCCAACACGCACACAAACACTTAAGACACCCTACTCACTGTAAGATTCCCTCCAGGAGCTTGACTACTCACGTTAATCTGTCTTTGGCATTACCTAAACTCCTAAATCCAGTGGTTTAAGCTCTGCGTCAAGTTTTGTACTGTAATTTTTCAGAGTATTGAAGAGGTAGGAGGGTCAGCGTGCAGGATCCGTTGGATCTCTGCAGCTACTTGAATAATCAAACGGTCTACTTGTAGAAAAATAAGGAAAGAAAAAAAAAAAAAAAAAAAGGCTGTTGGCCCCCTGATGTTTCTCGTTTGTGCGTGCTCTCCTCATAGTCCCTGAATCATCGTCGCCCTCTTTCTGTCACTCCTGACAGTGCAGCTACAATCTAAAGGAGTCAATTTATCAGAAAGCTGAATGTAACGACACAATAAGCAAGGAGATCCTTATTCACATGTTTTGTTTTTCGTATATTTCTGGTGGCTGTCAAATCTTAAGCTATTAAATACTAAATTTCACAATTTGAACCTACACATAAAATCTTATTTACTTGAAGGAGAAAAAAAAAGAGGAAAAAAAGCTGTTTTTAAACTCTAAATAAGCCCTTAGAAATGAGCTGAATTCCTTCTCTGGTCTTTCAGTTTAGATGGTTTTATTTTTGTTTGTTTTTTAAGTGTCAGGGTCGCCAATCGTTGAAGGTTTTGTTGTAATTTAAAATTAATCGACTTTTCTTTTACCATTTTTTTTTTTTTGTTGTTGCTTGTTTGTTCTTAACAGGAGGGAGGAGAAAAACGCACCATTACGTTTTTAACTTGATGTCGGCTTGTTGCATGAAAAACATTCAGGTGCCGCATTTTTTGTAAATAAGCGATCAACCCGAGACGGTTTGACTGAATCAGACTCTTTGGAATCTACAAATGTTTCCATCGAAGTTCTGAAACAGATGGGCATGAATCATGTTTCCAGCATTTCCCCCTGAGGGCCTGAATCCACCATCTGGTCTTGGTGACTATGCACTAGAGATGTTGGGATTTATGCAATTCCATCTTTTGTACATTTGTTGTTCTTTTTCTTCTTTTTTTTTTTGTTGTCGCTATCATTTAAACATAGGGTGAAGTTCTCTATGCACCGTGTGTGAAACTTGACGTGTTTAAATGGAAGAATGTACTTAAGAGGTGCTTGTTTTAGTCGTCACCGTGGCGATCTGCAGGGGCGCGACGAGCCGAGGCCAAAAGTACCTGCAATAAGTCACCTTTCCTTTGTTTTGCGTTCTCCCCCCCCCCCCCCCCCACCCCCGAGATTTGGAGATTTGTCACAGGAGTTAAATTTCTGGTGTCTTCTCTTGGGGAGGAAAAAAGAAAGAATAAAAAGAATCCCACAACATAAAGAGTTTCAAGAAGCAAAGTTTAATCAGCAGTAGATCCTTGAACGTTGAGTAAAAATACAACGCTGTCACAGTTTGTGCACAATTTTCTTTTTTTTTTTTTAAATCTCAAAGCAGAACAGCAACAGCTATCCCTGCTGGTGATATCTGCAAAATTAGATGGTTTTATTTAATTTTTTTTTGCACCCAAAACAAATAGGAGTCTTCTTTAAGCCAGCTGTCTGGCAGCGCACAGCAATGGGTGGAAGTAGAGTTGGCTACATATGCGGGTTTTTTTTGTTGTTGTTGTTGTTGTTTTTTTACACCTAGTCTGGCTATAGAAGAGAACTTTATTTACAAACATATCCGGTAACTTCAGTCACTATGGAGGCACCAGGCACAGACCAGTTTGGTAAAAAACTGTTTTATGTGCTTCTGTTTACAAAAAGAACTGCAGCAAATTATTCCAGCAGCTGCTGAGATAATATATGTATCCGTTATGCTTATGATGAATAACTGTGTTTTTTGCGGGTTGGGGAGTATTTCCAAATGGAGAGATATGTCTGCGATGCAAGCAAGAAGAAAGGGAGCGATTCCCGTTTTTATCCGGAGAGAACTCGAGAATTTAACTTGGCAACTTATTAGAAATGCATCTAAAGCACAGGAGCCGCATATTGGGAAAAATTTTCTTGTTGTCAAACTTAAATATTCCTTCGACCGGATAACCGGCCCATGCCTAGTGCCTCCATTTTCTAAAGTTACTTCAAGAAAACAGGAGTCGGAGTGTTTTTATTTTATTTTTTTCCCCCTAATGTACAAACACAGACTGTAACTCTTTAATTTAGGGAAACGAATTGATTTACGAAAGAGACAAATTTAAACCGAAGCCCGAGCATCAGAAACACTAACAGCGAAGTTTTTGACGTTGAAAAGCCGAAGAGAATTGCAGATGTGCCACTCGTAAATACCCCCCCCCCCCCCCCCCCCCCCCCCGCTCGTGTCTTCTTTCTTCTTCTTCTTCTTTTTCTTTTTTTCT